TGCTTTCTAACTAATCTAAAAGCAGAGCTGAACCTTTCTTAGGACTGAAGCTTCTATTTCTCAGTGCAGACTCAGGTAGCAGATTGAAGAATGGTAGATCTGCAAGTGAATCTGTGATTCTGGGAGCAACTCAATCTGCCTGCCTGTTTTGCCTGGTTTTGGGTAAAAGTCGCTTTTTTAAAAATAAAAAATTCAATATTTACATTAATATATACAATATTTACATACAAGCCATGCCCACCCAGTCACGTGATCACCAGGCCACGCCCACAAATTAGCCCACACCCACAGAACCCGTTGTTAAGAAATTTGAATCCCATCCCTGCTTATTATAAAGACATCCAGAAAAGAGAGAGAGGGAGAGGGATAAGGAGGGGGAGTTGTTCAGGTGTACCCATAATTGTTTAAAAATATTTGGGTGCCAATTGGAGTAAACACTACGGTAGTTTGGTGGAGGCCTTAAGTAATTCCTTTCCTATTTTGTCAATTAGGGTAGGTCCCATCTGCTCTATGGGAATAACTGTACTTTGTACATAAGTATAAAATATAATGCTTAATATGAATTATTATAAATATATTAATTATAAATAATAAAAAATATTACAAACATAACCATTTTGAATATTTCTTTTACAGTATTGCTGTACCGTAATGATTCCCCAAAAATGAACTGCAGCAGCATTCATTCTGTTAAAAACATTCTTCTTGGTCAAGCAATCATTTATGCACTAATGTTCTTTTTTGGAGTTATCCTAAATGTGTTTGCCTTAAGGATATTCTGTTGCAAACTAATCAAATGGACTGAAACGAGAGTATATATGACCAATTTAGCCATAACAGACTGTCTATTTCTTTTCACTTTGCCTTTCAATATGGTTTATAACATGTTAAAAATACATGATATATATATACATAGATACCTGAACATATTGTGCCTGGTTTGGCAGGGTGTGTACTTTATCAACCGATACATGAGCATCTTCCTTATTACCATCATAGCACTTGATAGATACATCGCCATAAGGTATCCTCTCCAAGCAAAGAATATCAGGTCTCCTTTAAAGTCAGTGCTTGTCTGTGGACTTTTCTGGATCATAATTATAAGTATTGTACTTGTATCTATACATGTGGATAAAGATGAGTACAAAGGAATTTGCTTTCGAACAATTTACAGAATAGCATCAGTGCCTTCTTTTGCTGCAGTAATATGGGGGTTTGTTATACCTTTAATTATCTTGAGTTTCTGTTCTATTCAAATAATTAAAAAACTAAGAAGAAAGAAAAAGATTCATCTTCATGAAAAAAATCTCATTCAGAAATCAATCAACATTATTCTAGCAAATATGACCACATTCATCATCTGCTTTTCACCACTTCATGTTCTATATTTCATTAGTTTCATAGATTCCAAAAATGATAGTTGTTCTACATTTAAAGAAACTCTATTTCTAAATGTTGCTGCTATTCTTGCTAACGCTAATTGCTGCTTGGATGTATTTTGCTATTATTTTGTAAGCCAGGAATTTCAGGAGGCTTCTATAGTACTAAAGACACAGAGTCAAGCATCTAAAAATCAAGATACTGAAATTATTTAGGAAGGGCATGCCTCCATGAACAATTCTGATACCTTCAGACGCATCTGGAATCATCCTCCTCCTAAACATTTTGATTGGAATTCTCTTCATAGTCTTGATAAAGCCTTCTCCATTAAAGTATTCATGTGAAGACAACATGTTCCTATCTATATAGCAATATACATTATAATTTTCAGGAAATCAATTTGAAATACAGATTCCTTCCTTGAAATGTTGCTGTTTCATCCTCACATCTAATTAATGTCCCTTATAGCAGTGATCCCCAACCTTTCTTATGCCGCGGCCCGGTATCCCCAACCTTTTTTATGGCGCGGCCCGGTACCGGCATTAGCTGGGCGCCGCCATCTTTTTTTGATGAAAAAGTGCTTCCGGTGAGCTTTCTACCCGGAAAAGCTCACCGGAAGCACTTTTTCATTAAAAAAAAAAAATGGCGGCGCCCAGCAAACCAGCGGCCCGGTAGGACTTGTTCCACGGACCGGTACCAGTCCGTGGACCGGTGGTTGGGGACCCCTGCCTTACACCAAATATATATACAGTAGCATGTGTTTTTGTACTGTTAGGAATGTAAGTCACCTAACAGGTATTTGGGTTGGAAATATATAAACCAGGATAGACATTTTAATACTGTATCTTTAAGAGCATGCAAAAACTGCAATTGGGTATGGTTCTGCAAATGGCCATAAGATGGAGCCAGAAACCTGGGTTGTTTTAGTCTCAGAAGAGAGTGTGAGTGAGTCTCTGTTTCCTTCTGTTGGAAAGAGTTTTGCCGTTCCTCCATTTTTTCATATTGACTGTTATTCTTGAGTTGATGTAAGTCTGTTACTGAACTGTTTTTTGATACTGGACTTTGATATTGAAAGGATTATCCCTGAAATGAACACTGACTGATTTAACTGTGAATTGACTTGGATTGCTTGTTTTGAAATTTGCTTAAACTTTCTGGAATTAAAAACCTACATTTACTGTACAGTGTATCTGTGTGCTGTGTGTGTATTATTCAAACACTACTCTCAAATACGTCTCCCTGTACGCGCTCATTCTCCTAACGGGGAATTACCTCAACACTGGTTATGGGCCCAGGCCATACCGGCTCAGATAACTGAGAGTTGGTGTGAATACACAGTACTGTATACAGACAGCTGTTTACTGTTTAATTGTGGTTTACTATCCTGGTAAAGATGGCACAAGACACTTCAACAAGTCTATCACTGATAACCCGGTTGGATGGAACAAATTATGTTTCCTGGTCTATGAAGTGCAGTCTACTTCTGCGTAGAGAAGGGTTATGGAATGTAGTTCAAGACCGACCGGATGTAAATGCTTGGGATCCAGCTAATGAGGACGATGCCAAGAAGCTTGCTGACTTTAAACAGAACTCTTTGTATAATTGGACTAACACTGAGTGACCAGCAGCTAGTCCATATTCGTGGAGAAGAGTCTTCTGCTACCCTATTCCGTACCCTCTCTGACTTCTCCCCCCTTAATAAATATGTTTTGCTTTGCCTGATGAATTTGTGGTTCATGCTATTAGAAGGCATGAAAAAGCAGCTTCGCAAATTTAGTTTCTCTATCAAATTCAGAGATCAATTTTTTATCAGCTAGATGGCAAACTGGAGTGCCTGAGTTTAAAGGACCAGTATGCAAGTGAGACTTCTGAGTATTTGGCTTCCTTCTAGTGGCATATCAACAATTGTTCTATACAATAAAGGTAACATTTAAACTATTGTTTTTTATTCATACGGCAATGGTATGCATCACTCTTCATTACCTAGAATTTGGATTTTTTAAAAACTTGTTTTAATTTCGAATAGTTCCATATGTGGCAAATATTTTCAACTACTCCAGCCAGGTAAGTCAGTAACAAGATTCCTCTTATTTGTGATCTCATAAACAAGGAGCAGGATGACCTCTCATGTATTGTTAAAAACCTGGCTGGCACAGCCCCCACCATCAACCCAGCCAGGTTTTGACAATACATGCCAGGTCATCCTGCTTCTTGTTTATGAGATCACAAATAAGATCACATACCCAATTGGATTTAGAGTTTGGCCCCAGAGGAGACCCAGGGCAGGGGAGGAGAGCTTGCAGTTGTCATCCAAGAATCCTTTGCCTTAGATTCTGGAGACCATCTCAGGGCTGCCTGTGGAGTTCCCCAGCTTTTTAGTTCTGGGAGACTTTAACTTGCGGTCCTTAAGGCAGACATCTGAAGTGACCTGGGAATTCACGACCACCCTGATGGCCTTTGGCCTCTCCCATCTTATTCTTGGCCCAATTTAGGATGGTAGCCACACTCTGGACATGGGTTTTCTTATCTGAGCAGTGATAATGTGATCTGAGAGAGCTTTTCTTGCCCCCTCTGTCATAGTCAGATCACGCCCTGATGACTTTGACATTCTCTTATGCTTGTCCCCTTCTCATGGCAGCTGGACCCATTTTATTGGTCTGCCCTGGCAACTGCAAGTAATGGATTCAATTAAGTTTCAGAGAGCCGAGGAACATACTTGCTGATTTACTACACAATTCTGCAGAGGCCCTGATAGCTGCCTAGAATAGTAAGATGGCCAGAGCTTAGACAGAATTGCACCTGTGCTTTTCTTGGTGACTAAAAAGGTCTAGAGATGCTTAGAATGCTACTGGAAGAAAATAAAGAGAGAATTCACAAGCTAGAGCTGCTATCAAGACCTTATAAGCAGTAAGAACAGCGAAAAACTAATACTTCTCCACTCTTATTACATCCACAAATGGCACCTAGTATCAATTTAAAGCTACCTGGATACTCCTCTGGAAGGGAGTCTGGAGTCCCATCTGCAGGACCATGTGAAGGAATTTTCCATGCATCTGGAGGATAAAATCATATATTCATTCCTAAATGTCTACCAAAGTGAGAGTCCTGCAGAGATGCCCAAGGGGCATACTTCTCAGTAATTTGGGAACAAGTTGATTCTCTTGGACCTGAAGAAGAGAACAGGATCCTCCAGAATGTAAGGATCACCACCTGCCTCTTAGATCAGTGTCCCTCCTGGCTGATTAAGCCTGCCTGGGAAGTGTCATATTGGTGAGACCAAGCAATGATGAATTTATCTTTTTTGGACAGGTTATTCCTAGATTCTTTTAAAGAAACTCTGGTGACCCCTTCCCAGTGATGGGATTCAAAACTTTTTACTATCGGTTCAGTGGGGGTGGCTTGGTGGGTGTGGCTTGGTCAGCGTGGCACGGGAAGGACACTAAAATCCCCATTCCCTTCCACTCCTGGGGGAAGGTTACTGCAAAATCCCATTCCGTCCTCACCCCACTAATCTGCTTTCAAGCTCCGTTCTCCTGTGCAGGGCAATAAAAGAAGACCCAGCCAATCAGCTGGGACTCAGGAGGCAGAGAATAGATGGGGGTGGGGCCAGTCAGAGGTGGTATTTGCCGGTACTCCAAACTATTCAAAATTTCCGCTACCAGTTCTCCAGAAGAGACCAATCCTATTCAGCAGTGATAGAAAGTGAGAAATCCAGTTTGTAGTCCCTGCATGTGGGCATTGCAGGGCTTGGTGATTTCTCTGTTCATTTTCAACATCTACATGAAATCACTGGGTAAGATAATACACAATACAGATGATACACAATTACATATCTCCACCCCAGATAAAATGAGTAATGCTTTGGACATTCTTTCACAGTGCCTGGAGGCTATGGTGGGCCTAGATGGGGAACAAGACTTCAGATAAACCCTGGTAAAATGGAGTTGCTGTAGGTGGACCCTTCTGTATCCAGGAGTTTATTGTCTTTGGTCTTAGATGGGGCTGACTATCCCAGACCTATTGTATATGTAATCTGGGTGCTCTCCTGGACTCACAGCTACTGTTCAAAGAGCAGATGGCAACTGTGGTTAGAAGGGCCTTTGCTCAACTTCATGTTATGCACCAATTAGCCCCTTTCCTGGATAGGGAGACTCTTCACTTGTCAATCTTGCCTTGCCATCTCCTGTTTGGACTACTGCAATGTGCTCTACGTGAAGCTATCTGAAAAATATCCAGAAACTTCAGCTGGTCCAGTGTGTGCAATCTGGATGCTCAAAGAACAGTGCACGTAACACCTTTGCTGCATGAGGTGTCAGTTTGCTTCTAAGTCTAATTCAACGTGACCTTTAAAACTGTACATGGCATGGGGCCAGGTTAACTACATAACGGTCTTCATCATATTATATCAGCCCACCCCACTCAGTCAGGCAGTGAAAGTACAGTATGTTGCAGTCCCCATCAGCTAAAAGAATGCTACCTGGCAATGACGAGGAAGAGAGGCTTCTACGCCATTGCCCCCATCCTGTGAAACATTCTCCCCCAAGAAGGGAGGCAGGCTCCCACTCTCCTGGCCTTTCAGAAAGATGTAAAAATGGCTCTGTAGCCTTGCTTGGGATTCATAGAGCATGCAGCTATGAGGCTCTGAAAACCCTACCCCTACTCTTTAACTATTACTATTAATTTATACTAGTATTTTTAAATTGCTGTTTTTATGTTTTAATAAATTTCACTTGTACATAGCCCAGAATTCCCTATTAGGGAGAGAGATGGTTTTTAAAAAATGATGAATGAATGAATGAATGCTTCACTGTCATTTATACACAACTTCGGTTTAGACAAACCTCATAAGCAAAAGAAGGACGTTTAAGTACACAAAACTGAAGTATTACTTTGATGCTTATTAGTTACAAAAATTAATACATCATTAGCAAATTAATATTCTATTCCACAGGTATAAATTTACTTAACATTACTGCTAAATCAAAACCACTTCATCTTCACCATTTAACACACTAATTTTACTTTTATATTCAGAATTTTAAAGTTATTTAGATATTTTTTAAAGATGGGAACAATTTCTGATGACTATCCTTTGATCTGTTTATTTGTAGTCTTCCCCTTCTTCTAGTTTCCTCAGTCTTCCTAAGCAACATCTCTTTTTCTAGGACATTGTCTACTCACATCATAAATCCAAAATATGACTTACTTCTTATTG